AAAGTCCAAATGCAATCCTCTTCCGGTTTCAGATGAGGCCAGTTGTAGAATCCCTTACACACACCCTTTCAGATGAACTGAAAGAACCAATAACATGCATCGTTTGCAAAAGTATAAAGTGGTTGTGTTCGATTGCCAAGTGACATTTCAACTTACAATGGATAACTGCGTCTCGGAGTAGACATAGCCCTGCAGGCAAGGCTCTCCGGAGGTCAGGCTGGATTGCACCGTTTCTTTACCATCAATCCCTTCTCTAACCTCAAATCTTGCACTCTCAGTGCTCGTATTTGGTCCCACCAACTCGCTCTCCACTCCGTTCTCTTGCTTCTTGCCTGCGCGACGACCCGACAATAGCTTATCTTCTCCCAGTTGCCAAGGCTGGCTGTGATTCCGACGAGCCGGTCTCGCCAACCAGTTGAGGCGACGCCGAGTGCACATGGACCAGACCGTGTCAGCTGGCGCATCGGTTAGCCGGACTCGAACTGTACCATTCTCAGCCTCGACTTGAGGGTTGTCAATCTCCAGACTTGTCTGGCTCCACTGAAATTCGGCTATCAGCTGTAGGAAAGAGAGTTGTGGCGCCAATCCAGCCTCCCATGTTGCCGGGAGCCGGCAGCGCATCAGCAACGGCTCGACCTCATCCGCCCCCCCGAGGAGCCATCTTCCTGTCTCGGCCACAAGTGGCACATGTGCAACTTGTGCCACATGCATCGCATTGGTGACAGACGAGGCCTGGGAAAGAGTGTCGAGGTAGGAGGGCAGAATGATGCGATCCGCCGTCGGGTAGCTGGTGTAGATGGAGAAGATTTCATGAGGAGCCAGTGAGAAGGCACAGAACAGCACCAGCATCAGCTGCCAGACGCCGAGGCCCACATGAGTCTCGTCGCTAGACGGCTTCGCTGAATCCGGCTGCTCCATCTCGCTCGAGAGGTCGCGCTTCGAGGCCAGGCAACCATAGTCCTGAGACACGCCGGCAGCGATTGCCTCACCTCCCAACATGCGGTCCAGCAACAGGCCGATGCTCTCTTCGGGACTGTGCAGCTTCCAATCCTCCTCTGCTGACATGCCAAGGGCGTTGGACACGAAGAGGGTTTAGAGAATAGGAATTGCCTCTTACGGGTCGGCATAAATTCCCTTATTTTTAATCTCTTCGCCCCTCTTTTCACTCCCTCGTCTCAACAATTTTCCCCTATCGGACGGCCACAATCGTACAAGAGGCTCGAGAGCTTAAACAATTTCATGGACCCGTTCCGTTAGGAAGCATGTGCAGACTATAGAAAAGGATTAATAAAATGACTAAGTAATGGGCTTAAGCAAAAGTGCACGAATACGGACTAGCTGACAGGCATTTGTCTACAAGCATAGGCTGACTGCGTAGCCCAATGGACACACAGACATACCCAGACAGGCACAAACACACAATCACATTAGCTAGTGTACGCACAAGACAAATTAAGTAAACTGACAAAATGAATTAGGCAGAAAGTAAAAAGCCTCAATAAGCAAGCCACTATGAAAACGGAATTCTCATTTTCGAGACTATTAGTAATTCTTGAATAAGAACTTAGTCAGCCTAGATCATTGAGTTTTCCCATAATCAGATGAGTAGGCTTAGGATTTCATTAAATTTCACCTAGTTTTGTCTTGTTGGGCTTACTTCTATTTCGAGTAGAAGTGTTGGGTGAAGAGATTCGAAGGTCGGTTTCACCAGAAGACGACGGTGGATTCATCTTGACCAGCTGTCGATTGGCTTTACTGGAAGATTCATGATGACGCTGTTTCCGAGGTAATCTCCTTCGATTCCGGTGAAAAGGTACTGAGCTTTC